GAGCAAGAGCCTATGGTGATGAAGGAAGAACTTAAGGATGCTTTGGAGGATTTGGCTAAGAATAAGGCCCCAGGAATAGATGGTATACCGGTTGATGTATTTCAACTAATAGATGTTGCCCTAGATGTGCTCACCAAGTTGTGCCAAGAAATCTGCAGGACAGCCAGTTGGCCAGCTGACTGAAAGAGATCTATATTTGTTCCCATTCCAAAGAAAGGTGATTCAACAGAGTGTGGAAATTATCGAACAGTATCATTAATATCACATGCATGCATGATCCAAAAATGATTGGAATGACGCATCAGCAGAGAACTGCCAGATGTGCAGGCTGGATTTAGAAGGGGTCATGATACGTGGTACTAGGGACATTGTAGCTAATGTTAGATGGACCTTGGCTGAAAGCAGAGAGTACCAGAGGAATGTTTGTCTATGTTTCATTGATTATGCAAAGGCGTTTGACAGTGTGGATCACAACAAACTGCTGCTGACTCAGAAGAATGAGAATCCCAGAACACTTGATCATGCTAGTCGGCAGAACGGAGCAAGGAAACACTGTGTGGTTCAAAATTGGGAAGGGTATACAGCAGGGATGTGTCCTATCTCCATATGTTTTCAACCTATATGTTGTTGTTGTTGTTGTTGTTGTTGTTATGTGCTGTTGAGTCGCTTGTGACTTATAGCGACCCTATGTGCAACAGCCGGAGGCTGGGCTTTTTGAATAGAAGTGTGGCATCAGGATTGGTGGAAGATCTATCAACAATCTGTGTTATGCAGATGACACAACCCTGCTTGCTAAAACTGAGGAGGACCTGAAGCACTTGCTGCAGAAGGTCAAGGATTGCAGCCTTCAATATGGATTTGAGGCTCAATATCAGGAAGACAAAGATTCTCACCACTGGGCCAATTGGCAGCTTCAGGATGGATGGTGAAGAGATTGAGATTTTTAACAACTTTAGTTTGCTTGACTCCACAGTCAACACTCTTGGCACCAGCAGCCAGGAAATAAAAAGATGTATTGCAATGAGAAAGTCTGCTATTAGGGAACTTTCCAATGTACTGAAGAACAGTGGTGTCACTCTGGAGACTATGGTGCACCTGATACAGGCCATGGTCTTTGCAATCACTTGCTGTGCATCAGAGAGTTGAATAATGAATAGGGAAGATAGAAGGAGAATTGATGCCTTTGAGCTGTGGTGTTGGAGAAGAGTATTGAATTCGTTCTAAGAAAATGAACAGGTTCATCCTGGAGAGGGTTAAACTAGGCTGCTCCTTGGAGGCCAAGATTCTGAAGCTTTGTCTGTCATACTCTGCACATGTTGCAAGGAGGGACTTGTCCTTGGACCTTATGCTTGGGAGGGTGGAGGACAGCACAGGAGAGGAAGACCCTTGATGAGATGGATTGATTCAGTAACTGGGTAATGGGGGTAGATGTATCAGAGACAGTGAGATTGGCATAGAATAGGGCAGGGTTTAGGGCTGTTGTACATAGGGTCGCTGAGTCGCAGGAGACTGGATGGCACATAACAACATTAACATTGTCTAAGAGACTTCTAAATCTAGCATAAACATTAGTCACAGTGAAGCTGAGCAGATTTCCTCTCATGAAAAAGTAGGAGAGAGCCATAAATATGAGCCCTTGGTCTCTTTTCTGTGGACTACTGCCGCAATTTGGAGAGGATGGAATTTTTCTTCTCCACCGCGCACACCCCCGTCCCCAGCTCCCCACTATCCACTTTTGAATGCTAGGTCAGTTGCTTGCTATGCTTGTGAGAGCTGAGCAATGAA